ACTTATCCCTGGGAAATTCTGTTTTGGATTGAGAGAGCCCAGGACTTCCATCCTCATTTGGTCACCACTCCCGGTGTGACATGGAGCTACAAACGAAATACCTCTGAGCTTCTATTTCCGCACGCTTGCAGTGTGGACCATACTACTCATCTTGATTGAATATATATGAAGCGAATAGAATTGTTTAGTCCATTAGTTTATATTATTATTATTATTATTACTACTTACTATTGTTTCAGAAAAATTAGATACTTTCTTCTCATTTGATCTAAGAACATCATTTCATGGCTATGTGGTATGCAGGCAGATGAAATTCTTTGGAAAATTCTATCACAAAATCTAATTCTTTGTGTTTAAACCCTTTATCATTTAATGGCCAAACTCTGGTCCTTTATAATCTTCTGCAGCTTCCCCCTGGAGGTTGTATAAGAACACCCTTAAATCCAAAGTCCCTGGAATTCAGCATAATTCACATGGTTATAACTTACTAAAATTCTCTATTTTGGTCAATTTCTAACTGTTCCTAAACTTTAATATCCTTAAGCATAGACTTTGGTCTCGTTTTTCTCATAACTCACAACAAATTGTGTTTTGCACATAAATGATATTCTATACAAAGTTAAGAAAAGAAGTGTATGAATTTATGTTTAGCCTGAATTATGGATAGTAATGCCAAAGTTTAATTTTTCTGTACATATGAAGATGATATCATCTGCATTATGTTGAAGTAAAAAGAAGTCCTAACAAAATAGCTCTATATACCAAATAACCTCAAAAAATAATTACCCAACAATTTAATCCCAACTTATAATGATATATTTACATAAAGTATTTTCCCCAAATACAGCAGTTAGTGAATCAATTTAGTGATTTTTGACCTGTTTCATAATAAATGCAAACAATCCATTGTCATCTGGATAACTATTGACCAAGAAAAGAATTGTCTCTGGCATCATTTGTTTATTTCATAATTATATAAAATATGTTCTAAGGCTGTAGTGTAGATATTTTTAATTATCTTTGCCTAATGATATTTGTTACAGTAATGCCAAAAAGAAATTGGAAACATTTATGTATTGAAAGTTTCTGATAATTTGAATGAAGTGAATTTTTGGAGTTTCCATCTTTTTTAAAATTCTCAAGTTTAGTATCATAAAAACAGGAAAGCAGTAATGCATAAAAGAATTATTAGGAGTCTAATAAAATTATTTGCATCTCCAACTATAGCAACACTGATTAATGACTGCTTTTTAATTAATTGGAAGTTGTTCAATCATTGTAACATTTCATTTGCCTGAGAATTTTTATGTAAGGGTCAGGCCAAAACACATGCTAGTTCAATCTGCAGTAAGGTATACTTACGTAATTGTTTCTTCTTGGCAGTACAAGTGTAAACTACTTATTTCTCAGTCATTCACCATGAAGATAGTGTTTCCTGCCCAGCTGGCTAGTTTGATCAATGAAAACAGCCTTATGCATTAGAACATGAATAAATTTTACTTTTAAACTCGGTGAATTCAAGCCAAATAAAGCCCATAATAAGCTATTCTTATTGTAAATCTTTAATTATCATGTGGTATGTGTTTAGCCTCTTTATTTTTCACATGGATACATAGCATTTACCCCAGCAGATTTCCCTGGGGTCCTAAAATCTACACAATGGTCTTTGAATAGGTACTGGAACAGAACAGAGGTACCTATTTTAGAAATGTTAATTTGATATCACTCTTATATTGTATAAGATTTTATATATATATGTACATATATATGGATATATGGATAAGCTTATATACGTGGAGAGAGATATATATGTATATATCTCCATTATGTGTCTAAGTCCCAGTTCTGCATATTTCCCAGTAAGGGCCAACCTAACTAATGAGAATCTACACACTAGGGTTTCCTAATTTGCATTTAGGTAAAAACTAGAGCCAGCATGTGCTGGCTAATCATATTGATAGCTAAAAAAATAGATTTCTTTAAACCTGAAAAATCTAAAATGGAGGATCAGTGACACTTGCTTCCACAGCAAAAGTGCATACCCTCCTTTCATTGTCTAAGTGGGTGAAATGCAAGTATCTGACTAGAGGTATCAGACCTGCTACTTTCAGTGCCGTCACAACACTGTGATGGTTTGGGTAGTCTACAGAGCTGCGGGGGGAGAAAGACACCTTCCTGAGCTACAAGTGATTAATAAACTATCTGCACACTTTCATCCTGAGTTAAGGTACGGAAACCTACTATTCCCAATTCAAAAAATATGCATGTTTTGTGTATGTGTGTATTAATAGGAAGGTTTAGGTAAGGTTAGATAGTTTTCTTTTTTTTTTCAAGTTTTTATTTATTTATTTATTTGACACAGAGAAAGAGAGAGAGAGAGAGATCACAAGTAGGCAGGCAGGCAAGCAGAGGGAGAGGGAGAAGCAGGCTTCCCGCCGAGCATGGAGCCCGATATGGGGCTTGATCCCAGGACTCTGGGATCACGACCCAAGCCAAAGGCAGACACCCAACTGACTGAGCCACCAGGTGCCCCAGATTAGATAGTTTTCTAAAAAATAATCTTTTGTTATGATCGATATGTCTTTGACAAACAAAAGTTATTTGAAGAGACTACCTCTGCTTAATTGTCACTTAGAATGTACAAGCAATTAAAGTGAATGGTTCAGGAAAGTCTTACACTCCATAGCTTAATTCATTTTCACCACATTTGCCAAAGATCTTAGAAAACCAAAGTTTATTTTCTATCTACAATATGGGTAAGCTATCCCCCAACATTGTGGTTGAGTGAAATAATTGAAAGTCAACATGAAAGGAATGATGAGTAACAAACATAATTGCAATAGGATGCAGAATAGGTGGGGAGAAAAGATGCCAGGTGTGAAAGGAGACCAGGAAAACACCATAAAGAAAACGGGTGTCCTCCGCAAAGGGGAGAGTGGCATTCTGTTCTCCTGATGATATGTTTGCTCAGGCAGCTGACTGCATGATCTGCTCTCAGAACCTAACTGAGCAAGAAGGGCAGATTTGAAAGGAGGTGGCCGGACAGAGAAACCATTCAGTAGAACAGCCTGGGAAGTCCCTGTTCTGTGTGACAAGGATGTGTGAGTGTCCTCAGGGTCCAGTGGGCACAACAGAATGCTAAAATTGAAAAATCATGTTATAAACTCACCTAAGAAGACTGTCCTCTATGTAAGGGGACCCTGGAATTAAGAAGTTGGAAGGTCTACCACATGGGTTCCCATATCAAGTTCCCATGTAGATGGGATGTCCAGAGCCCCCCACATCAAATAACTCAAAGATTACTTAAGAAGACAGTGTTTGGGCAACTGCCTTTACTGCCAGTCCATTTTAGCCCTAGAAGCAGTGGCAAGCAACGGAGTATTATATGGGGGCAGATAAGAGAGACCTATGTATCTGTACTTCCCTCTGTCTTTTCCACTCTAACAGGCTGGAGAACTTGTATCTCCATCAGCGAGGAGTCACAGTTCCAACTTGCGGTGGCTTTGAGTTCTGCAGTCATCTATTGCTGCTTAACAACAAGTGACCTTAAAATGTAGTTGCTTGAACTAATTACTATTTTAGTCCTTCTCCCAATGTTGTGAGTTAAGCATGTGGGCAGGGTTGGTCCAAGTATATGTTTCATTTCACGTGGCATTGATGGAGGTTGCATTGTGGTATTACTCTAGCAGATGGCCTGGGCTAGAGGTTCCAAGATGGTTTCATGCACATATGCAGCACACTGGCAGGTATGATTGGAAGGCTGAGCTGAATTGGGCTGGTCAACCTGACCACCAATGTGTGACCTCTCTAGTATGGCAGCCTCAGGGTAGTCAGTTTACTCACATGACAGGTCAGTGGTACAATAAACAAGGTGAAAGCCGCATGTTCTTTTATGTTAGTCTTACCCTTAGTAATCAGAATAACCACAACATAATGAAATAGCTAAAGATATCATTAAGGCCTGGGAATAAGTGTCTGACTGTTCATGTTTCGAAGAAATTGTTGAGGATAAACAAAACCATTTAATATTTACACCCCACTGAATTGAGACTGAACAAAAACCCCTCAACAGAAATATTCACAGTTAGCTCTTCCCTGCATAGAAAAATGAAATTAGCTGCAGAAGTATGTGTACCAGATGAACAAAATAAAATGAGAAAGAAACAAAATGAAAGATGCTCAGAAGGGATTTCCCCAAATCTTTCAAGAGACCATAAGCAGGTGGATGGGAAGATGCACTTTCTTGTGCAATCATATTGATAACCAAATGTCACCATTCCCCCCCACTAATCTGTTACCTTAGGAAGTTGTAACAGTATCCTAGGTTGTCCGGTCTAACATATTGAGAGCTTTGTCACTCTCAGTCTAGAGGATTCTCCTCCGGACCAACCAGAAATCAACACCAGGGATCGGTCCTAACAATCCTATCGATTCTGAGTGACTCCTTAAAGAAAAGCACTTAGAGCTCCTGTATATTCCACAGTGACGTTCATTGAAACACAAAACAAAACAAAACAAAACAAAAAAACCCACAAAACATTACAATTACATTCTAAGAAAAGGAGAGAGACGGAAGAGCGGTGACTTTAAAAATATTCTCTGCAGTTTCAGAAGAGATTTCAGAATGGGCGATTTTGTGTGAGAATTAATTCCTCCTGCCCGGCCTCTGAAGCTGCCAATAAGATTCTATACGGAGGTCGGGTGTGGAAGAGAAGTTGGAAGCTGGAGGATGGTTGAGGGTAGAGCGTGGAAAAGGGATGAGGTCACACAAGAAATGCACTGCTGGATATTCGTGCAAGCCTGCAAACAGGGCTCACTGGCAACTGTCAAAATTTCTCTGGACTTATGCTATGAGGTAAAGGAACAGGTTTCTGAGTTTCCCCAGGAGACCACTCAGCTGTCAGTCCAAAAATGAAAAAAGACCTCAGCAGGGACTCATTTGAGCGTGTTCAATCCGAAGAACTGCAGTGTAACATTGATTCTGTCCATGCCATACTTACTAACTTTACTCGCAATTACGGAGAAATTATACTGCGCGGTGCTTTCTCTGTCTAGTAGTTCATTAGTGGCAATGGTTCCTTCGGTTCCATCTATTGTAAAGTAGCTGTCCCCATCACTCTTCCAGTCTATGAAGTACCTGCATATAAAAGAGTAGAAGCAAATATGCCGTGATTACACAGGAATCATAATGGCAGTCGGGCTAACTTGACACAGTTCCTTATTTTTCTCCCTGTAGCTATTACCCACCTTGCAAAAAAGAAGAGTTTCAATGACAGCTTCTTTATTGCAAAGTCAGTATGCTCAAGGGGAAACTGGAACTAATGAAAGATTTAGTACTCCTGCTGTTCATATTATTTTAGGGTCTTGACAACTTGAAAGCTCAGCAGAGACTAACATTCTAAAGCTGACCATGAGTTTCCTTAACCTGCTGAATATTAAAACCTTTACAAGCAGTAGAAGATTCCTTCATGGTGGCTGTGGGAAGAGCTGGGGGTGGGGGAGGCTTCTGGCTAGAGCTACAAAGAACTTAGGCCAGAACAGAGGTAGAATCTTTATTTCCGCAGATAGGAAAAAATCATATTACAGAAACTAAGGGGCAATTTTGTAATTGGCAATGGGGCAATTGTACAGAAGTATTTTCCTCAAACACATATAAAAGAGCCACTGTTGTATAATTACTCTATATATCAAGACAACTTTCTAAAAAAATAAAACAAAACAGTGAACTTAGCTAATAATGTCTCTTTATCTTCTTTATTCGTTAACCTATTTGCTAATAACAGATGTTACCTTCTTTATGTGGACTAAAACAATTCAAGAAAATTAATTTAAAAAACTGAATTTATATAAATCTTTATGTAGCAGATACATAGAGTGAAAAAATCTTTTTCTAACACATATTTTCGATCATAGTAATAAATATTTTGAAATCTTAGCATGTACCAGATACTGTTCTAAATGCTTACATGTGTTACCTTATCAAAGACCCACAAAAGCCCTAAAAATAAGTATTATTCATCTTCCTATGTTACCGATGAAAAAACTGAAGCATAGAGACACTAAGGAATCTGCCCCAGTTCACATAGAAAGTTTTAGAGCTGATTTTTTTGAACCAGGTCATCAATGTTTTCTCTATGATTATCAACATGTAGTCTTAGCAATTTTAAATAGAACATTATATGTGAAAGGGCTCTGCTCATCAAAAGGCTCAATGAGCAATATATTTATCACCATTACTCTAGCCTGGGAATCACAGCGAGGTCAACACAAGGCCAAAGTTAGTCAAAGTCATGTACTTCCAAACAGCAACGTTAAAATACCTAAACTACAACGCTCCCACACAAACCCCTAAAACACAGTCCACGGGCACAAACAGCCAGGCCCTATTTCACCCAACGATGTTTTTGTTTGTCTCTTATTCACTATTTTCTGGTATCTAATCTTTAGCTCCATCACCTCGTAAGTTTTGGTATGTCCCTTCTCTGGATGTGATCCTCTCAAAAAGCTTCCTGCCTTCTTCTGGAGTACTACTGAAACTTATCTGAACATTTTCTACTCAGCTAAACATCTTCAGCATCTTCCCACAGCCGATCAGACTGCAGGACTGTGGCTCTAGTACGAGGTCCTGGCATTTTCCTGATGTCCTGTCTTTGTGTGACTGACCCACCCCTGTGCCTGACTGAACCGTAACAATGAGGCAACAACTGCCACTCTAAATTGTGATGTTCTGCGCAAGATAGCAATTAAAGCAATGACCATCAACGAAACTGAAAATGGAACTCCTACATTTCCTAGACATTTTCAGAGAAGACATGACCCTGTCCTAAAATGTCTAGATCATTTTCAGGAGATACGCCCTCCTAAAGCGTAGATCCCACCTTAACTTTAGGTTTGCCATAGTCCACAGCCAATCTACGGCTACAGTGATATTTTAACTGCAATTAATTGCCGCTATATAACAATGGACTGTCTAATTTGGCCTCACTCACCAGTGTAAATGAGCAAGACCCTGAAATGTAGAATTTGAATCACCTTATGCTTATCTGGTAAGTAGATGAGATTTAAATTTTTTAAAAATGTGTTTATGATCTATATATGATGAAACAAATGTATAGTTCATATAAGTATGCAGCCAGTGTTGCTAAGAAAACTCTTTTAACAATTGAATAGAAATCAAAAATTAAAGCATTAACTTAATCTGTGCGGACCACTTGACAGAGTACAATTTTATTACTTTTCTGTAAATGAGTTTTCAGAAATGCCTTAAAAAGTTTTCTTCTCTTCATTAGGTAAGCATTCTCCTTAAAATTGTGTCTTAATTTGCCTAATAACTTTCTCACAGTTAATGGAAAAACTAAATTCTCAAACACATTTTGTAAAAAGTACTTGATGGTAGCGAGTTACTCTAAAAGTATTACATCTCATTCCTTAAGCAATAAAGATTAGGAGTAATGATTCAGGTCAAGGTAGGAAATTTTCTCTTGTTAATGTGATAATAATCAAAATCTCTTCCCCTGTCTTCTTTTAGTCACGGATTGTTCCTTTTTTTTTTTTTAATTTTTGTCTTGGGGAAGATAATTAAATGAAAGTAAATTCAGTTAAATTTATTTCCACATTTTATTGAGCACCTATGCCACATACAGCAACACTTAAGATTATAATTCCTTCATCAAGAATCACAATTACATTTTTTTCTTAGAAATCCTAACATTTCTCTAGAACTTTTTAAATAGTAGTTGCTAAGTTTCCTATTAGTTCCTCTTGTTTGTTTTTTTTCCTAATCCTCCTCTTCATTCTAACTTTCCTCTTAGTAAAATTAGTTATAGCATAGATAGTTTAGAGAGCTTCTTTTGCTTCTTTGATGTTAAACTAAACATTTTATAAATTATAATGATTTAATAAAGGCATAACCCTTCTGTCTTCAAATTTTCCTTTTGGAAGCACACAATATCATTAAAACACATCTTTAAAGAAAGATAAATGCATCATAATCTACAGTTTATTAAAATTATAGTTGTTATATTTTTTCCTTCCAGGTTACTTAAGATTTTCTTGTCTTTTTTTTTAAGATTTTATTTATTTATTTGAGAAAGAGAGACAAAGAGAGCATGAGCAGGGGGAGGGGCAGAGAGAGAGGGAGAAGCAGACTCCCCGCTGTGCAGGGAGCCCAATGTGGTACTCAATCCCAGGACCCTGAGATCGTGACCTGAGCCAAAGTCAGATGCTCAGTGGACTGAGGCCACCCAGACACCCCATGATTTTCTCATTTTTTAAGTCCTTTCTAAATAGTCCCATATGATCTTCTGACTTGTATCCATTTATGTATCTGGATGCCAACTTTACCTTCTGCCAAAGTTTTATACCCGGATTTGGGTTTATGCTTCAGAAACTCTGAAGCAGCTTGCTCTAATGGGAAGAAAGTAAAGTTTAGGCAAATATTGATACAAATTTGGGTCTGCAGCTAAGAGCTTCAATATTAAACAGGTAGTCTCCGTTTTCTCATGTATTAAAACATATGGACAGAACTACATGACTCAATAAGTGAATAATGTGATTGTCCCTTCACTCATGTTTCTTCCCCTGAAGCCTTACCAAATCGCTCCAGGCAGCTTTATTGCTTCCTTATTACAAAATTTTATCTTCATACTTCTTTTATCTAATTTATCAATTTTAATTGGCATTACAGTCTCTCTCAAACTAATTGTAGCTTGTTTTGTGGATGACACAGAAAGTTTCTAGAGAGTAGGAAGGATTCATCACCGGGTTTATTGTTCTATCCTTAGCATCTTGTACTTTATGTATGAATTGTATCATTTTATAAGAACATCTGGCTGTTGTTAATAATAGCCTGATCATATTTCAAGCACAGAGTTATTTATTTTGTATCTTTGAATATGCAAACAAATGAATTCTGAAGTCTTTTTCAGGTGTCTTCAACAAAACTATTTCTTTGAACTGAATCAATTGCCTGTTGTTCCAAGTCACAGTCAGATTTATTTACTCTCTCTAGTAGCTGTGGCCAAATGTCTCTGAAGAAAGGTACCATTTTAACTTGTCATTTACCATTTAAGACTCGAAGATAGACATCATATTTGAAAGACAACTTTTATTTCCCATTTTTTTCTAATAACTGAGTTTTATCTCCTCCTTGCAATTTGTTTATTCTTTAGCTCATTTACACTCTGAAAATTATTCACGTTCTCCTAATTTGTCAAATACTCTTCCTTTTTTTTAAGATTTATTTATTTATTTGAGAGAGAGAGGGCAGGGGGAGGGGTAGACGGAGTGAAAGAGACTCCATGCTGAATGTGGAGTCCAACGCGGGCCTTGACCTCACCACCCTGAGATCATGACCTGACCCAAAACCAAGAGTTGGGCACTTAGCTGGCTGTGCAACCCAGATGCCCCAATTCATCAAATAGTCTTATAATATTTTCTAAGGAGAGTGTTTCATACCTCTGCAATATTTGAAGTAACTGATCATTAAAAAAAATCAAAATAATATGAAATTTCAAATAAATGTGCGAAAAGGCTATTTTCTAAAAGCAATTAAAAAAATCATAGAAAAGAATGAGCTATAAAATGTGTGTAACTTATATAGGCTACTCTTCAGCATTTCAAGATAAAGCAAAGAACTGGAACCAGCAAAAATTTCAAATAAATGTGAGAAAAGGCTATTTTCTAACAGCAACTAAAGAAATCACAGAAAGGAATGAGTTATAAAATGTGTGTAACTGATATGGGGTACTCCTCAGCATTTCAAGATAAAGCAAAGAATTGGAACCAGCAAAAGGTAAACTCAAAAAGTCAGTGAAAAAGTATATATAAGCAACTTGGATGTTTTGTCATTTTGAGGAGTTAACATGAAACATAGTAAGATAGCTTTCAAAATAATTTATCACCCTAACTAATATCTGGACACTTAGCTATTGAGATTTCCTTGAGTGTATCACTAGAATCACTAATATAAAATTTGTTTAAAAATAAAAGCAAACTCATCATTGACTGTCAAGATCCAATCCACATAAAAATTAGACCTGTAAGTCTGTATTACAGATCCATTGAATTTTGTCAGTAATTCCTCAGTTATGTCTAAATCTTACAAGAACTTCATGGTTAAGAAAAATAAAAGGTACT